TCCCTTCTGACCCTACTAACTATGAAACTATGAAACAGAGAAAATGGTGGCGGTGTACTTTTGAACTAAAGCACCTCTGAGATGTTTTAATTTACAAGTGCACCACCGCTATTTTCTTTGCATTGATGTGCATTTCCCCACTTATACAACTGTAAGCATTGCAGTGCTGGGCACTTTTCAAAGCACCCAGCACTTGCACAAGTAAAAACGCCCTCTCACTGGAGGTAGTAAATTTAATGCACATTAGGAAAAGCACATTAATACATGTGTAGAAGTACCCTGTGGTGAGCTGTGTTAGTAGCAAAGAGAAACTTGGGTGCCCCTGACCAATGTACCTCTCTGGGCATCTGGCCTGTTAACTTTATCTCGTTCACCCAGTGTACTTTATATCTGAGGTCACACGCTGCCTATTACCTGCTGTTATTATGCACTCCATGTAGGTATTAATTGTATGATGATACCCTTTTGGCATGGATAGCTGTCATTATTTATGCATGTTGTGCCCAACTCTGTTGATTTCTAAGTGCATCTGGGTGCTGGGTGCACAGCTGCTCAATTCCTTCTGGGAATACAACGTATGTGTTAGTTTCCCTTCTATCTGAAAGCATGCAATTTATTCTCCAACATACTGTAGCACACTCACATAAGCAAGGCCATGATTTTGTACTATATACTTAAAAAAAAAAATCTATATAACAAGTAACATTTCAAAATTTTTGCAAATACCTTATTTAGATCTTCTTGCTGACTCTTCTGATGATGTTGTAATGCCAATAGCTCAGTTTTTTTATTTTCCAGTTCTTCAACACGTTGTGCACAAGCTGATTGAAGACTTTACATAAAAAAACCCCACAAGTTACTGAGGATCAGATTGCTCCCAATATTAAAGAAAAACAACCCATTAGGTGTACAGAAAATACCATGAGCTTCATCTAAAAAAATTTATCTTCCTCATCAATCCAGCCGGGACTGAAAGTTTCCCTGCTTAAGCCCGGATGGATAGTGGTGGAATATGGAGATCCAGGTCCAATTGTATGCAGTAAGAATCCTGAATTAATTTGTTAACATATATGTTATGTTACTACATATGGGCAAGGCAAAACATTCGTTCTACTAAGACAGCCATAAACAGATACTCATTTTAATCAAAGAGGGTTAAGAAATCTTGTTTGTAATCATTTTATATATACAATATATAGAATGTTATATTAACAAGTACCTAGTAGAAAAGAAATGTGCTCTTTTTCATTAAATGAGTATATAAATCCAAGTAAATAAAATATAATAACGTGTAAAGAATTAAGCAATATCCAGGCCATCTAAAAGAGTGAATAGATATTGCTTATAATCTCATAATATAAAATTGCTGATTAACATGTTAATAAAAAATTATTTAGCATCTGACCTTCTAATCCAGAATATCATTTTAAAACTAAACTGAAATTAAAGAAAATATTTTAAATACATAAGTCTTTCACAATGCAAATGTGATTTTTAGAATACCTACTTTATTTGATTTTCCTGCACATTTTTATTCTCTCCGATTTTCAATAATTCTTTACGCAACTGTTGGCATTCCATTTTTACCGCCTTCCAGAGAGCATCACGTGTCTGCAGCTCATTTTTCATCTCCGAAAGTCCGGCTTCCATGTTCTATATAAATAAACAATCAAAATGACTCAGCAGTGGTTCTCAATTCCAATCCCTCATAGTATTAAAGACTGACATATAGTTTACTCTACATATTTACTATGAATTTAAGAGGCATTTTTTTTTTAACCTGGTATGTTACTTAATTTTATTCTGAGTACAGTTCCTGCTTTGGAGAAGGCATTGCTTTCCTAAGGTTTCCCAGTCAGTCCCTTTCTCTAGAAATGTCACTCAACAGTAAAGTACACAAGGTTCTTTGGGTCATGCAGCGTTATGATGCATTTGTCTGTGACATTATCATAAGAAACCTTCATCTATTGTATGTTTAATGTTATATCTGAGTCCTTCTTACTCTCTTGAATAAACTTCCACATTTATTAACTTCAATGTGTTCTGGACTACACCCCATGACAGCAGGATTCAATAGCATCATTAACTGGTATTTTGTCTTTTCATAATATTAGGGACACTTCAGCTTTTGCACTGCAGGAATTCTGAACAAGGTGTGGGCTAGGAAGGGCTGAATCAATCCGAGGCAGAAGATTTCATGAGCTTTATACAGTGTAGTGTTGGCGTATGCCTCAATCAACCTGTTTAGCTCAAATGTGAGATGAGTCTCTTCCAAAACTGGTTCAGCTGCCTAGAGATTATAATTTATTTAAAATGGGCACCTAGCTTTCAAGCTGTCACTCTCTGGATACGTCTACATGTGCTATTACTGCACATGAATCAACTGTGGATCTTATTGCTCTGGAGTTAATTGCTCCTGGGAGTGCTGTTTGAACTTGTGCCTGGGAGCAATTAACTCCAGAACAATAAGTTCTGCAGTTTATTCATGCATGGCATGACATGAATAAACCGGCAGGTAGCCCCTCCACTGAAGCACCCTCATGACCCAAGCCAGCCCCTCCAGTGCTTACACATGAGCTGCTGTGGAGCTTTTTTTTCACTCTGCAGCAGGTCAGTACTTATATTTACAGATACTATTCTGCTGCAAAGTAAATTAATTTACTCCATCTCAATAGGGGTGCATGTATAGGTGCTGAGATGTTTTCTGCACAGCTAATTAGTCAACTACGCAGCAAACATCTCAGGTAGACATGCCCTGGGGCTTTGTCTTAAGATTCCTTTAGTACAGTGGTTCTCAACCATTTTTGTACCAGGACCCATTT